TGCTTCTGGAGGAAGGTTGTTCTACTGATTAATTGTTCTCATTGTCAGGAAGTTTCTCCTTAGTTCTAGGTTGCTTCTCTCCTTGATTAGTTTCCACCTGTTGCTTCTTGTCCTGCCTTCAGGTGCTTTGGAAAATAGCTTGATTCCCTATTCTTTATGGCAGCCCCTGAGATATTGGAATACTGCTATCATATCCCCCCTTGTCCTTCTCTTCATCCATACTGCGCTAAAATTTCAACCAATTCGTTAACCGAATCTGTTGGATAAGATAATGTCACCACCAAATCATCAGCAAAAGCTTTCAACTTATAATCAATCTTATTTATTTTTATTCCTTTTAATCTAGAGGATTCTCGAATTTTAATAAGATTTCCATAGCTAATACAAATAACAAAGGGGATAGAGGACAACCCTGCCTAGTACCTTTTTCTATTTTAAATTGCTCTGTTAATCCCCCATTAATTATAATTTGTGCTGATTGTTGCTGATATACAGCTTTAAGAGCACACAAAAATTTATCTCCAAAATTCATTTCCTCTACCACTTTCAATAAAAATTTCCAATCTAATTGATCAAACGCTTTCTCCGCATCTATAAATATTAAGGCAGCAGGAATTTGATTATTCTTATCCAAATATTCTATTATATTAACCAATTGTCTTACATTATTTTTCATATATCTTCCCGTTATAAATCCCGACTGATCAGTATGAATCAGTTGTTTCAAAACCTGCATTAATCTATTTGCCAATATCTTTGCAAAAATCTTATAGTCCGTATTTAACAAAGATATAGGCCTATAATTTCTAGGCTGGGACAAGCCCTGATCATCCTTTGGAATCAATGATATGAAGGCCCTTTTCCAAGATGGAGGTAACTCTGCTCCCAGCAAAATGTTATTAAAAAGTTCCTTCAATGGTTCTATCATTTCTTCCAATAGCATCTTGTAATAAATTGCAGTTAATCCATCAGTACCTGGCGTCTTACCAACCTTTAATTGTTTAATTGCAGAGGTAATCTCTTCAGCAGTAATTGAAGCATTAATTCCATCACACTGATCAGTCGTAAGTCTGGGGAAATTGGCTTGTTGTAAATAGTTTTCTACATCTGAAATTTGTATAACTTCACTAGTATATAACTTAGAATAAAAATCTAAAAAAGCCTTTTTAATCAAATTTTGTTGATACACCTCTTTACCTTTATAACATATTTTGTTTATAATCCTTGATTTCTGCTTCTTACGTAATTGATAAGCCAACCATCTACCAGGTTTATTTGCATTACAAAATGTATTATACTTCATGTACTTCAAATTAATTGCCATCTGATCCTCTATTAACATGTTAAATTGTTCCTTAAGCAGAGTTATAGAAGCTTTCAAATTATTATCCATTGGATTTGATAATAAAATATTTTCCTTACATTTAATCTCATCTTCCAACTCTTTACGCTTCTCAGTTTGTTTATGTCTATGAGCATTATTCATAGAGATCAAAATCCCTCGTATGTATGCTTTACTGGAATCCCAAACCATTGGCATCGAGGTGCCCTTATTCATATTCCAAGAGAAAAATTCTTTTAAATAACCTCTACATTTCTGTATATTCTCTTCATATCTAAATAAATTCTCATTTATTCTCATTTAACCTCCAAGACCTTCTAGACCCTTTATCCAAAGAAATTTCCAACCATACAGGACTATGATCTGAAAAAAATTCTGGAAAATATCTTAGTATTCTTCACTCTGAAAGAAAAGTCATTAGTAACTAGAAAAAAAATCAATTCTAGAATAAGATTGATGCCTGTCTGAAAAAAAGGTGAAATCTTTTTCCTGAGGGTTACGTTCTCTCCAAATATCTCTGAGTTCCAAATCATCCTTTAAATCAAAAAAAGTTTTCAGAAGTCTAGCCTGGTTACACACTTTAAAAGAACCCTTCTTATCTTTGCTTGGATCCAAAACACCATTCCAATCTCCCATCAATAGTTCAGATTTTGGTGATAGAGGATTGCTCGGGCATTTTCCTCCAGACCGCACCCGATTGAGAAGAAGAGGAGAGGGATAAGTAAGTAGAAAGATGTAGGAGAGAGGGAGGGGAGGAGAGGAGGAGGTAGAAGGAAGGGGGAAGTGAAGAGATGAGAGGGGGACACGGTCTGGGGGGAAATGGGTGAGCAATGTCGGAATTTGTGTGTTGTATTTTAACTTTTTATGTATCTGAATTTTTTTTCTTATGATTGTAATGAAAATAAAATAATAAATTTTTTTTTTAAAAAACCTTACCTACTGTTTGAATTGTTGTAGCACCTCTGTCTTACCTCTAAGCAAGTAGCAAAACCTGAGCTTTCTTGCCTTTTGCTGTCCCTTTCTTCTAATTGCTTTTGGAATATGTACCTATGCAGTACTTCCAAAAATTCTCAAATGTGCCACTGATGGCTTTCTCCCATATAGAATGGCATATGGAGTATTATTAATGGAGGAACTCCAAAGCCTGTTAACTATATAATTAGCAGTCAATATGGCTTCTCCCCAATATGACCTGCTCAAACCAGAATCCTCTAACAATGAATCTTTCATTGTTTGCAAAACACCATTCCTTCTTTCAGCTACACCATTCTCTGCTGCTGTGTAAGTATTTGTACATCTGTGTCTTATCCCCAACTGCCCCAACCATTGTTGGAATTTAATTGACATAAATTCAGTACCTCTGTCAGTTTGCAACTAACACACATTGTCTGTACCTTCTCTCTACAAAACTTACCAACTGTTTGAATTGTTGTAGTACCTCTGTCTTTGCTCTAAGCAAGTAGCAAAACGAATACCTGCTATAATCATCAACAATTACCAGTGTATATTTTGCTCCTCCCAAACTGGCTTGCATAGGTCCCACCAGATCTGCATGGACCAGCTCTAGAGCTCTTTTTGTTTCTCTTGTGCTATATTTACTAACTGGGAATGCCTTTGACTTCGATGCTTTGCATACTGCACAGTCCAAATATGTTTTGCATCCCTTCAAATTTAGCCCTTTTGCAAACTCTTGCATTTGCTGCAAAACCTTAAAGCTTGCATGGCCAAGTCTTCTATGTAGAAGATGAACACAGGAATCATGCTCTGCAACATTCTTCAATATATGGGAACATTGAACCTTTTGTCCCTGCAATACATATAGATTATCTTCCTTTATGCCTTCTGCACAAATATTTCCATTCCTTTTGATGAGACACTTCCCATTTACAAAAATGATCTCAAAACCTTGTTTGTCTAAATTAGACACACTTAACAAATTATGTTCCATCTCAGGTACACAAAGCACATTGGTAAACTTTGATTCCAAATATGGACTTTTTACATCGCCTCTTCCGATGACTTTTGCTTTCTGGCCATTTGCCAAAGCCACAGCTTCTTGTGTTACTGGAAGAAACTTGCAAAATAATTCAGATTCATTAACAATTGTTTGACTTGCTCCACTATCTATTAGCCACTTTTCTCTGTTGTTGCTATAGCAAACTTTTGCAACACCAAAATGTTCCTTTTGCAAATCAGTCTTTTTTGCTTGCACAAATGTCCTTCGCTGCAAATTGTTCCTCTGCAAACAGTTCTTTTTCAGATGTGTCTTTGCTCCACAAATGTAGCAATTCTTTTCTTGTTGAGCCCTCTGCTTGCAAAATGTTTCTTCTTTGGAGACTTGCAGTCTGGACCCCCTCCTCAGGAATTTCACCTCCTTGTGGCTGCTTCTAAAATGGCACTTTTCTTCTTCATTAAGCAAACATGCCTTTAAAGCCTCAAAATTTAAGTCTTGCTCTTCTTTGCACTCAAATATTGCAGAAACTGTGTCCCAGGTTTTATCTAAACTGTTCAACACCAATAAAACCTTCTGGGACTCAGGGAATTTAATCCCACGTTGTTCTAAGTCCAAAAATAAACTTTGCATTTTATTTAAATGCTTTCCACAGATTCACCTGGTTGCAAACAGGCCCTGTAAAGTTTTCTTGACAATTGCACTATATTGCATGCAGAAACATTCACGTGCACAGCTCTCAACCTCAACCAAATCTCCTTTGCAGTCTTTAAATTTGCAACATTTAGAAATTGTTCATCATCTAAATTCAAGATGAGATAGGCCATTGCTTGATCATGACTTTTCTGATCAGCAGCTACAAATACTTGTGGTGGATTTTTTACGATATACCACAGCTCTTTAGCTTTCGGCAAACATTCCATTTTAGCAGCCCACACAATGTAATTCTTCTGGCCCCAACGAGACACACTTTCCTTAAATTCCATTGCAGCCATTCTGCTTATTCTGCCTTGTTCTTATACTTTCTAAACACAGGCAATTTCTTCCAGCTTTAAATTACAATGCAGTCCTTAGTAAGCTCTGGGCCCATAACCTGTTAGAGAATTTTAATTTCTCTGTTGGTGAAAATAAATCAGAAGCTTTCACAGTTGACTGCATTTAGCTGATTCAAAATAACTTCTTTATATTTATATCAAAATATTTACAATACCATACATTCTTCTTTACAGCAACATAACTCAATTGAAGACTTCTTACAGAGAGATACAGAGACAAACCTGAGACTGAAAATTCAGCTTCTAACTCAATACCCTTTTGCACAGACTCAGTAGTACTTTCTTCACATTGGCTGACTGAGTTACCACATGACTCTTCCTGCTCATGAATATTCCAACATTATACTTCAACTTGGTAGTGCTGCTTCCTTTTGAAAGGGCAGAGCTAGTTCTACACATTATTTCATTGTCATAATATGTCAAATAAATAACTGAAGAGGTTAGGTTTTATGTTCATTCAAAGAGCAATAGCTTACCAAATAACTCACTTTTTCCTGGAAGCATATTTATTTATTACATTTATATGCTGCCCATTTCACTTTGAACAATGACTCAGGGCAGTTCTTTAAATGTATAGATTTAATAAAATAACTTATTTTTTACTTATGACTAGAATTATCAATTTTGCTTAACAACTACCATTGCTACTTACTGGTAGGAAAAGTCTTTGAGAAGCACAGGGCTTGAATAATTTCTTCCATTCTGCTGCATTCTCAGTTGGAAATGAGATGGGGTAGAGAGTATAATTAAATTTTTCATTATGTGCCAAATTATCAAGCTGAAAAAAACAACATATTTTAGTATTTTTGTATCAAAAGCAAGATTAACCAATTTCTAACAACTCTATTTCTCATTTTGGTTATTAAACAGTATGTTTTCAAGCCTATAAAATTAAATTAAGATTTGTGAAAGAATAGATAATACTAACAATTTCTTCCCTATTTTATTGGATTTATATGCTACCTTTCTAAAACAAATAGTACTCATTATATTTTACAAAAGGGGTGAAAATATCTTGGTTCAGTCACTACTTGCAATTTATGAAAAACACAGAGAAACAAATCAACATAAAATGTATCTTAAATGCAAATAACTTGTGTTTTAGAAAACAGTGTTTTAAAAAAACTCTTTATGCAAATAATTGGGAATACCAAATAACCAAACTCACAGCTTATCACAAATGCATTTTCTATAAAAAGCACCTTGCCTGTTTTTCAATTTCATACAAGACAGCTAGTATTTGTATATTTAAGGTAAAAAATGTATGGTTCAGCCAGGTACTAATGTTGCCAAACTCAGGTTATATCAGAGGTTGAGACAAATTCAATTCATAGGATAAAGATATCTTCATATTTAAGGCAAGTCCAGAAATCACAATCTCCTGGTTTCTAGACCAGCATTTTAACCACTACACCAAAACTGGCTCTGAGTTTTACATAAATTTAAGAGGCTATGTGTTTCTTATAAGACTACACTTCTATCATGGTGCAAATGTTAAAATGTTATGAATATTTTATAGATAAAGGTAGTCCTTGACTTATGACCACAACTGAACCCCACAATTTCTGTTGCTAAGAATGGAATGGAATGGAATGGAATGGAATAGAATAGAATAGAATAGAATAGAATAGAGCTGGAAAGGGCTTTGGAGGTCTTCTAGTGCAGCCCCCCACTCAAGCAGGAGAACCTATACCAGGAGTAGGCAACCCAAAACAGGCAAAGAGCCACTTGGACCCGCTTCCCATTGAAAACAAAGCACTGGGAGCCGCAAAACCCTTTCAGTGGGAAATGGGTCCAAGTGGCTCTTTGACTGTTTTGGGTTGCCTACCCCCGGTATAGGTTCTCCTGCTTGAGCGGGGGGGGGGCTGCACTGTGTGTGTGTGTGTATGTGTGTGTGTGTGTGTGTGTGTGTATACACATGCATAACATACACACACAGGGCTTTTTTCCTCATAGACCTTTTGCATAGGGTAGGCAAGGCGGGTTGTATGACGTGAGTTTCGGCACCTTTTGGGGGTTTTTTAGAAAAAAAGCACTGTTTGTGTATCTATCTATCTATCTATCTATCTATCTATCTATCTATCTATCTATCATAACAACTGAGGGAGAGGGAGGACGAGTGAGGGGCAAACCTCCGACAGCAATGTTAGGAAGGATAGGGGCAACAAGGAGGAGAAGGGATGAATCTGGGGGTGGATTAGCGAGCAGACCAGCTGACCATGGACAGACAGTATGGGGTGGTAGGATGTGTCAGGGGGAATTGGAAGCAACAGGGTTGGTAAGGACGGAGTGTATAAAGCTGGAGATGCGTTCGGATCAGTGTCAGCAGGGGGGAGGTGACAATGAGGGGGCATTAGGAATGCCGGACCTGACCGTATGACCCAAAACATGTAGGACAGGGATACCAAACAAGATAGGATTAGCCAAGAGGGGGAAGGAGGAGGAAAGAGATAAAAAAGGGGGGAGGTTGGACTTGGAGAGGAGCCGGCGGATAGTCCAACTGACCGTAGCAGACAGGGCAGAGAGACGGAACACAATCGTGCCCACGCACAGCCAGGTATGAAAGGAAATTGGGGGAGATAAGGCTAACAAGGACGAGAGGGGCTGAGCCTAAGAGCAAGCCTATAGGCATCTCCACCGGCTATGGGCAGATGGAGCAGAAGGATGAGGCATGATGGAGCGTGCGCACACCCAGGGGTGGAGGGAAATCAGAGAAAAAAAGGCTGACAGGAATGGATGACGGAAGACAGGAACAGCGTGTAGACCAACGGGTTAGAAAAAAAGGGAGCGCTGATGGCAAGCCTTTTGGAACACTGGGTCTGAATGCGCAGCCTGGAATGAGCAGGAGGGAGCAATTAGAGAGCACACTGGCAGCAAAGATGTTGGGAGGGAGGAGATTGACAAGGATGAGAGAGGGGAAAAGTGTGGAATTGGAGTGCAAAAAAGAGAAGGCAGGACAACCAAGGCAATTACAGTTAATCAGGAAGGATGGCCCTATCACATAGGCAATGAGTAAGCAGTTAGACCAGCAAGGTGTATAAAAAGAATCTCCCCACCCCAAGCCTCAGTCTTAGGACGCTGGCAGCGGACCAGAGAAAGCTGTTTCTTTTAACATTGTTTTTATTGTTTTTAAATATCTTTTTAGCAATAAACAACTGGTTTATACCTCTCCCAGAGATCGAAGGTTGTGTTATTGAACAAATATGCCCGGGATTCACATTTTGCAGCTATCAAGGACACACACACACACACACACACACACACACACACACACACACAAAATAAAGGAAAAAAAGGATATATGCAGTATTATCTTCATTTTAGATGTCAAAAGGTTCTCTCTCTCCCTCTCTCTCTTTGTGCCCTTGGTCTGCCAGTCCTCTTCGCCCACTTTTTCTTTCTCTCTCTCTCTTTCCTCTCCCTCTCTCTTTCTTTCTCTCTTCCCCCTCTCTCCAATCTTCTGCTCACCTGGCAAGCTGGCTTCAAGCTGTTCTCCAACAAGCTCAGGGGTAGGCAACCTCAGCTCTTTTATGACTCATGGACTTCAACTCCCAGAATTCCTCTCTCCTGCCCTTCCTGCTGAGACGCAGCCAAGGCAGGAGCCCCACCCAGTAAGCTTTTCAGCTCGTCAGAGAACATCGTAAGTCCACTCTCTTTTTTTACACACACACACACACACACACACACACACAGAGAGAGAGAGAGAGAGAGAGAGAGAGAGAGAGAGAGAGAGAGAGAAGGGAAGCGCAAGTGCCTCTGTCTCTCTCTGCAAATGGAGAAGGCTCAAAGAGCCACATGCAGCTCCAGAGCCGCAGGTTGCCGACCTGTGATCTATACCATCTCAGACAAGTGATTGTCTAGCTTCTTTTTAAAAATCTCCAGTGATGGAGCGCACACAATTTCTGAAGGCAAGCTATTGAGGAAGTTTCTCTTTAATTCCAGGTTTTCTCTTTTTAATCAGTTTCCAACCATTATTTCTTGTCCTGCCCTCTGGTGCTTTGGAGAATAATGTGATCCCCTCTTCTTTGTGGCAGCTCCTCAAATATTGGAATACTGCTATCATGTCCCCCCTATTTCTTCTTTTCTTTAGACTAGCCAAACCCAAGTCCCGCAGCAGTTCTTCATATGTTTTAGTCTCCAGGCCTTTGATTATCTTAGCTGCTCTTCTCTAAAAATTTTTCAAACTCTCATCATCTTTTTTGTGATATTGGGACCAAAATTGGCTGCAATATTTCAGTGGTCTTACTAGGGTTTTATAAAGTGGTACTAATGCCTTGTGTGATCTTGATTCTATGCCTGCTTATACAACCCAGGATTGTATTAGCTTTTTTGGCTGCTGCTGTACACTGCTGGCTCATGGTTAAGTGATCATCCACTAGGACTCCAAGGTCCCTCTCACAATTACTGTCTTTAAACCAATCTGTACTTGTACCTTTGATTTTTCCTGCCTAAATGTAAAACTTTGCTTTTCTCCACATTGAAACTCATTTTGTTGGATAGGGCCCATTGTTCAAGTTTGTCAAGATTTTTTTGGATCCTGAGTTTGTCTTCTGGGGTGCTGGCTACTCCTCCCAGTTTAGTGTCATCTGTGAATTTGATGAGTTCCCCTTCAATTCCCTCATCTAAGTCATTTATGAAGATATTGAAAAGTACTGTGCCTAAGATGGAACCTTGTGATACCCCAGTGCTTACTACTCTCCATGTGGATGTAGTGCCATTGAGGACTACTCGTTGAGTTTGGCTTGCCAGCCTGCTACAGATCCATCTGGTGGTGAAGATGTCTATTCCACCTTTTTCTAGCTTACCAAAGAGTAGGTTGTGGTCTACTTTATCAAATGCCTTACTGAAGTCTGCGTATACTATGTCCACAGTATTTTGCTGGTCTATTAGTTTAGTCACTTTGTCGAGGAATGAAATAAGATTGGTTTCACATGATCGGTTTTTAACAAACCCATACTAGTTATAACTTTGTTTGCTTCTAGTTGTTCTCAGATCTGTTTTCTGATTATCTTTTCTAGAATCTTCCCAGGTATTGATGTTAAACTGATTGGTCTGTAGTTTCCTGGGCCCATTATTTCCCCTTTCTTGAAGATGGGAACCACATCAGCCCTTTTCCAATCCTCAGGTACCTCCTTGGTGCTCCAGGAGTTTTGAAAGATGTGGTGCAATGATTCTGAGATAACATCTGCTAGCTCCTTCAGAACTCTGGGATGTAATCTGTCAGGCCCCGGTGATTTATATTCGTCAAGGTCGAATAGATGTTCTCTTACCATTTTCTTGCTTATTTTAATTTTTGTTTCTAATTTGTCTTTTGCAGTGGTTTTTTGATATGTTGGGCTACACTTTCTTTTTGTGTGAAGACTGATGCAAAGTATGAGTTAAGCAGAGAGAAAGAGAAATAGTTAGTGAATTTTGCCCCATTTTTCTTGCCACAGTTAAGTGAATTACTGCAGTTGCTAGTTAGTAACACAGTTGTTAAGTGAATCTATCTTTCCCATTGACTCTGCTTGTAAGAAGGTCACAAACAGTGATTATCTGACCCCAGGACACTGCAACTGTCATAAATATGAGTCACCAAGTGTTTGAATTTTGATCACACGATCATGGGGATGTTGCAAAAGGTTTAAGTGTGAAAAATGGTGATAAGTCATTTTTTTTCAGTGCCGTTGTAACTTCAAATGGTCACTAAAAAAACTGTTGTAAGTCAAGGACCATCTGTACTGGATAGCCTGATAACCTTCTATAACAATTTCTAATTACTCATTTTCTTTTCAACTTTAGAGTTCAAAGAACTGGAGACCATGCAATTGCTGAATACTATAGTGTAGCTCCACTTATGACTGAGAAGATAGCAGGGGTTCAACACATTCATCAGAAGGTCACAGTATACCCAAATTACATGCTTTTTGCTCTTGGAAATATATTGTTTTCCAGTTATAAAGTAAAAAAAAATACTTCACAGAATATAGATCTTGGCAGATTTAGATACTGAAAGCAAGCAGACTTAAGTTTAATGGAAAAATACAAACAATACAAGCTTAATCCAAGCATACATTCTTTTATGAATACTTACTATTTCTCTGAAGTCACTGTGTAATGATTCCTCAGCAAAAATATGAAACTGAAGACTTTTGATGCTGAAAATAATAGCTGATTTCAACATAGTAACAGTTTCCTCCAATCTTTCACCACAGGCTACCACCGCCAAATGCATCCTCTCAGAAAGCTGAGGCTTTGGAAAATCATATCTGATGCAAAAAATACAATAAACGTTTCCATGGAGACAATATTAAATGTAAATATTCTATATTACATTTGAAACAAAGATTCTTTGTTCAAGTTAGTCATTAATGTTACTTAACCTTATCACAATTTGAGAAAAAGTAGTTATGACAACCAAGAGAATGACAAAGATGTATTTCCTAACTTATTAAAGTTTTTAAGTCATTTTTTTGTAGTTTTAATTCTAAATATACTATAAAAATATATTTTCTTACCTTATCTGCTCATAAACTTTTATTTAAAAAAAGCAACTCATTTTTGTCAAAGAATATTTTAATAAACACATTTGGTTGAGAATGCAGCCCACTTTTCCATCTTACAACAAATTGTAATATTTTCTTATATTAGCTTTTATTACTATGTTTTATAGCCTATACCTAACAATCTCATTTCCTGCTCGTAACATAAATGCTTTGCTGTAAAGTAAATAAACCAAGAAGCAAAAGTAAAATCAATTGCAATACTAATAGCCAGAAAAAAATTGTCAATGTACATACTGTAGACACATGAATCTCTGTAATACCCGTATCAAAATAAATTCCAATAAAAATAAAAATGTTTCAGACAATAGATTATTAACCTTAAGATGTAAATAGTAAATATATAATTAGGTGTTATTAAATTGAGTAGATATATCATCAATTGAAAGGTAGTCAAATTCCAGTACCAAAATTTCATTAGTATGTGAATACTATAAGAAAGTCCTGGATGCAATTTATCAGTTCGATACTCAATACTTCATTCTTTTTAAACTTAGATTTATTCTTGAAACTTTAATGAACACCTCACCATGTATTTTATGGATTAGAATGTTTTTTATTTAAGCATTAATTTCTAGCATCTTCTATTTATACACATAAGAACAGAGGTATAAAAATAGTTCAAATACTTTTTCTTTTAAAAATCTGAATGCTTAACTGTTGCACTGAATTGAATTCAAATATAAAGCACTCTGTCTTGTGGTAAAATGTTAATTCAGTTCCTGAGTTATCTAGATAGCTCCCAAGCTGTAGACATTAAGAGGGCTACTGAAGACTTGGCTGTATCTCCCAGACTGTGGGATAGGTTGATGGTGTAACTCATTATATGGCTTCTTTGTTCATGTCTTCGTGGTGTTTATTTTTGTATTGTTCTCATCTTTTTAACTGTAAGCTGTCCAAAGAGTCAGGCAGCTTTCAAACTGCTAAATGAATGAATGAATGAATCAAATCCCTTTAGCTTGATAATAAATCTTAAAAGAGTGTGGAACCATGGCTCCATAGAGGAAAAGGTTACAAAGAATGCAGTAAAGAACAGGATCCAACCTAACTTACTCTCATAAAAGAGCTTTGTAACTCATGTAGTTTCTGGCTTTTCTGTTAGTCTTGGCCCAACTCTGTTAGAATCAGATTTTAAACAAAGCCAAAATAAAATGCTTTTACTGCTTTTATTGTTTGGTGAGCTGTCCAGAAATGTGGTTCCTAATGTGTGTGTGTGTGGGGAGGGGTAATGTACTGTATGTATGTAACAGGACAAACAGGAAATCCTAGCAGCAACAAATCTTATACATACTGTTTTAAGTGTATTTGAGCATTGTTGGTTACTCTTAAATAGGCAAACATCTGAGATACAGTGAAACTTTTTGGGGTTATTTTGAAAGGAACATTTTTGGCTTCCTGTATTCCTGCCAGCATGATGTAAGATATCATCAATATGTTGACAATATCTGGGTTTACATCTTCCACCCAAGCGATACCAGAGATTCTGTCTTGGTGTCTGGAGGTTGTGGGGATTGGATGGGGAAGAACTGGCTTCAAATCAATCCTAGCAACACTGAGTGGTTTTGGGTTTTACAGCCACTTCAAGGATTTTCCATCTTTAGTTCTGTTTGGGGGCCACACTACCTCAAGCAGAAACACTGCACAATTTGGGGGTCCACCTGGACTCCAAACTCCTGTTCAATGAAAAGGCAGCAGCTGGGGGGACGCTTTCCACAATTTTGTGTTTCTGCCAATTCAACCCTTTCTTAGATAGCAAGGCCCTTCTCACAGCAATTCATGCCTTAGTCAAATCCCAAATGAACTTCTGCCATATACTTTACATGGAGCTACCCTTGAACAGAATCCAGAAGTTATAGCTAGTAGATAACAACTCAGCAGTTATGTGCATTCCTTAATCAGTGTACATTACACCTTTGTTCTGTGAGCTGCATTGGCTGTCAGTATGTTTCTGGTGCTGGTTGTAAGCTTCATGGCTTAATCCAGGTATATGAGAGATTGCCTCTCAGGAGAGATTGACCATTAGATCCAAAAGGAGATGAATTCTCTGGTTTTGATTTTTTAAGGAGTGCCAATTGATGGGGGCCAGGAAAAGAACTCTTTCTGTTGTGGTGCCCACATTTTGAAATATCATTTCCACTGGCCCTGATCCTGTTGTCCTTTTGCAACAGTTACAGACATGGTTTTGTCACGGGGCATGGGAATCAGCGGGTGTGAGTGAGTCTGTGCAATGATTGTGCTGATCTGTTATTGGTGAATTTGTTTTTAGCCCAACATGTTGTTGTTTCTGTTTTTTATGCTATTTTAAATATTGTTAACTGCCAAGATCTATTCCTCATGACTCTGTTAGAGCAAGGAGGAAAATAAAGGATATATGACACAACTAAACCATAGTTCCACTATTAAACACCTAATGTTATATAATTAACCAGAAGTCATATTGTGCAAATCACAGATTAATATGATGTACAAAGTGGCCTATAAATATGAGTGTTGAAATAATCATCATATCCCTAAAACAAGGACACATCACAATAAACCGCAGTAATTTTAATGCTACTACAATATTTTTGAAACTTACAAATCTTTATTATTCCACTAACTAAAAATGGTGATATTTTATAGAAAAATATAATTCTGAGTTTTGTCTATTAATTTTGCTTCAAGGACATTCATTACATTTACAGCCAAAGACTTTGTATACTTATCAACAGGCATACCTCGTTTGCTTTTAAAAAACTTTTGTTCCTATGTAAGCATGTACAGAATTACAGCTTCAAAGCCGAACTACGTGGTATGCTGCATGATTCTTTTTTTTTTTAACTGAGGAAAGAGAATTCAAATACCATTTTATTAGTCAAATCTCTATTTGTTTTCATGACCAGCCCAGACAACTGTCCACTGTCACTTGGGGATGAAACAGAGAAATACCTATTATTTATTTTCTTATTCTAATTATAATGCAATATGAGTCTATTAGAAGCTGGGTACTAATACCCTTCATGGATTACTGCCTTGTCATGGCGAAGGGGCTTGCGTAATTCAGTGAAGCTATGTGTGATGACCCAGGGCCCCGAACGGAGGCAAAGCACTTAGCTGGTCAGAATAATTGTCTTTGTAAGCACAATGTTCAACTGCCAATGTTCACCCAACAGCCCCCACATATGCTGGCACAAGTTCAATAAAACAGTCAACGGAGTTAAACAGTTCTTTAAAGTAAAACGGATAATAAAGTATGATCTTTTCCACGCCCAGCTTGCCTGTAACCTGCAAATTGCAAAACTGAGGACAGCAAGGAGAACTCAGCAGGAAACAAACTTGATCCAAAATACAAAGAATCCAGATACAAGAGCTCACATCACAAGAGTTCACGTTTGTTCCCGGCAAATGCCCCACCCCACAGCGTCTCCTTAAATATCTACTCTCCAGGTGTGCCTTGTAGAGTGGGGCATGACACTCTCCTCCCGAGCAAGTGAGCCTGCCTCCATTGTTCTCTCCTCCTCTCTGCTCTCCTTGCTCTGGGATCTGGTGGGGAGGGGCCTTGCTCCTCACCTGAGCTCTGCCTTCCCTGTTCCAAACTTGAAGGGCCCTGGCCTGCTTCAGCCTGTTCCTCTCCACAGTCCTCCGAAGCCACAGACACCCCCTCCTGGGCCTCAACAGGGAACTCCATGTCGAGTCAGGCTCGGATGGAGGCATGACACTATGAGCTATGCCAGGGCTTTTCAACCAGTGGTACGGGTACCACCTGTGGTACATTGGCACCTGGCAGGTGGTACATGACCATCCTAGAAAAGTGGTAGTGGGGGAGGGGAATGAACTGAACCGGTGGCAGAACCACACAAGCCTGAGTGAGAGATGGCTGTCAGGGCTCAGCGGAAGTACCAGGATCAGCACCAGGATTCAGCTGGAGCTCGGCACTGATCCTGGAGCTTCTGCTGAGCCCAGAAGAAGCGCCGATCAGCTGGAAAGCAGCACTGATACTGGCGCTTCTGCTGAGCCCAGAAGAAGTGCCGATCAGCTGGAATGTTGCGGCATCTTCAGGGTCTTGTGATTTACATTCAGATGCTTGGCAACTGATTCATATTTATGACAGTCACAGTGTCCCACGTGCTGCAACTACCCAGCAGATGGGGGGAATAAAACGTGCTGCAACTACCCAGCAGATGGGGGGGAATAAAAACCAAACACTCCCCCACCCCACCCCCACTGCCAATCCTCAACAGAAATGCTCACAACAATGAAAACCTTGGACAGGAGGAAGAGTGCGGCCGGGCGGTCAGGCAGGTGCCTTGCTCGGCTGTGCTTGGAGGGGGGCACTTTTTCAGTGCCATTGTAACTTCGAACAGTCACTAAGTGAACTGTTGTAAGTCGAGGACTACCTGTACTTTATCACTTTTTTCCTTTTTTCGGGGGAGGGGGATCATCAGGTTTTTGACACCTTGCTACGCGACTGGTGGTACTCGGATGTTGCCATATCCTAATAGTAGTACAATGGGTGAAAAGGTTGAAAAGCCCTGAGCTATGCCATGCAGGGCCACCCAAGACGGACAGGTCATAGCAGAGAGTTCTGACAAAATGTGATCCGCTGGAGAAGGAAATGGCAACCCACTCCAGTATCTTTGCCATGAAAACCCCATGGACAGTACCAAAAGGCAAAAAGATATGATGCTGGAAGATGAGCCCCTCAGGTCGGAAGGTGTCCAATATGCTACTAAGGAAGAGTAGAGGGCTAGTACTAGTAGTGCCAGAAACAGTGAAGCGACTGGGCCAAAGCCGAAAGGATGCTCAGCTGTGGATGCATCTGGTGGTGAAAGGAAAGTCCGATGCTGTAAAGATCTATTATCCATAGGTACCTGGAATGTAAGATCCATGAATCAAGGTAAGCTGGACATGGTCAAACAAGAGATGACAAGATTGAACATCGACATCTTAGGAATCAGCGAACTAAAACAGACAGGAATGGGTAAATTTAATTCAGAGGACCATCAGGTATACTACTGCGGGCAAGAATCCCTCAGAAGAAATGGAGTAGCTTACATAGTCAATAAAAGAGTAGGAAAAGCAATACTGGGATACAATCCCCAAAATGACAGAATGATCTCAGTGCGAATCCAAGGCAAACCATTCAATATCACAGTCATCCACGTCTGTGCCCCAACCACTGGTGCTGAAGAGGATGAAATTGACCGGTTCTATGAAGCCCTACAGCACCTTATAGAATCAACACCAAAAAATGATGTCCTTATTATCATGGGGGATTGGAATGCTAAAGTAGGAAGCCAAAAGATAACTGGAATAATAGGCAAGTTTGGCCTTGGAGTACAAAATGAAGCAGGGCACAGGCTAATAGAATTTTGTCAAGAGAATACGATGGTCATAACAAACACTCTTTTCCAACAAACCAAGGGACGACTCTACACATGGATATCATCAGACAGTCAACACAGAAATCAGATTTACCATGTGCTCTGCAGCCAAAGATGAAGAAGCTCTATACAGTCAGTAAAAACAAGACCAGGAACTGACTGTGGTTCAGATCATGAGCTTCTCATTGCAAAATTTAGGCTTAAATTGAAGAAAGTAGGGAAAAACACTAGGCCACTCAGATATGAACCCAATCATATCCCTGATGAATATATAGTAGAGGTGACAAATAGATTTAAGGAATTAGATCTGATAGACAGAGTGTCTGAAGAACTATGGATGGAGGTTCGCAACATTGTACAAGAGGTAGCAACTAAAACCATCGCAAAGAAAAAGACATGCAAGAAAGCAAAATGGCTGCCTGAGGAAGCTTTTTACATTCCAATTCCAAAGAAAGGCAATGCCAAAGAATGTTCTAACTATCAAACCATTGCACTCATTTCACATGCTAGTAAAGTTATGCTTAAAATCCTACAAGCTAGACTCCAGCAGTATGTGGATCGAGAACTTCCAGAAGTACAGGCAGGATTTCGAAGAGGCAGAGGAACTAGAGATCAAATTGCCAACTTACGCTGGATCATGGAGAAAGTTACGGAGTTCCAGAAAAACATTTACTTCTGCTTCATTGACTATGCTAAAGCCTTTGATTGTGTGGATCACAACAAATTGTGGCAAGTTCTTAAAGAGATGAGAGTACGAAACCATCTTATTTGTCTCTTGAGAAACCTATATGCGGGTCAAGAAGCAACAGTGAGAACTGGACATGGAAACACTGATTGGTTCAAAATTGGGAAAGGAGTCCGGCAAGGCTGTATTCTGTCGCCCTGCCTATTTAACTTATATGCAGAGCACCTCATGAGAAAGGCAGGGCTAGATGAATCAAAAGTTGGAATTAAGATTGTTGGAAGAAATACCAACAATCTAAGATATGCAGATGATACCACTCTAATGGCAGAAAGTGAAGAGGAACTAAAGAGCCTCTTGATGCGGTGAAGAAGGAGAGTGCAAAAGTTGGCTTGAAACTCAACATTAAGAAAACCAAGATCATGGCATCCGGCCCTCTCAATTCCTGGCAAATAGTTGGGGGAGAAATGGAGGTAGTGACAGATTTTATCTTCCTGGGCTCCAACATCACCACAGATAGGGACTGCAGCCAAGAAAATAGAAGATGCTTGCTTCTGGGGAGGAAAGCTATGGCAAATCTAGACAGCATACTAAAAAGCAGAGACATCACCCTGCCAACAAAAATACGTAGAGTCAAGGCCATGGTTTTCCCAGTTGCAATGTATGGCTGTGAAAGTTGGAATATAAGAAAGGCTGAGCGTCAAAGAATTGAGGCCTTTGAACTATGGTGCTGGAGAAGACTCCTGCGAGTCCCCTGGACTGCAAGGCAATCAAACCGGTCAGTCCTAGAGGAGATCAACCTTGACTGCTCTTTAGAAGGCCAGATCCTGAAGTTGAAACTCAAATACTTTGGCCACCTAATGAGAAGGAAGGACTCATTGGAGAAGAGCCTAATGCTGGAAAGATTGAGCCAGTAGAAGAAGGGGACGACAGAGAATGAGGTGGCTGGATGGAGTCACTGAAGCAGTAGGCATGAACTTAAATGGACTCCAGAAGATGGTAGAGGACAGGAAGGCCTGGAGGAACGTTGTCCATGGGTCGAACACAACACTAATACTGGCAGTTTTTCCATAGGCAGACAAGGAATAAGCAATGACCTAGTCTGAGATCTGGTTTTTAAAAATCCAGATAAACACAAAATGAGAGCAAAGATAGATTTTTACCATTTCAATCTAAAAACTCAACGTGAACAGGGAATAGAAATTAGACACAGATGTAATGTATTGCAGGGAAAAGAGAAAAGGGTTGTTCAGCTCTGCCAGGGCTAACATTTGTCTATTCAATTATACCTCTTTCTGTTGATCTCCAACCAATGGGAAGAAAACAAAGGATTCTATTTTTTCCTCAAAAACATATTTCATTATTTTAAATTTTGACTAAAGTTATCAGCAGTAAATTTTCAATTAAAAAATTAAAAAGCCACATAATTACAAGTATAATTACATAACTAAATATATTACAGACTTTATTGCTTTAAGAAATGATCTTAGTAACATTATATATTTATAGAAACAATCCTCCACCCCAATTTGGGACCCTTTCTTAGACTGATTAGATTATAATTATTACAACAACCAGTTAGTATGCATATTTTAAAGCAGAAGTCTCCAACCTTTTTGATTTGGTGGCCCGGAAAGGGAGGCAGGCCTCACTACGTGTGCATGGATAAATGGGCCACACATGAGTGCATGCACATGTGCAAACGGCTGCATGCGAGCGCATGCACACATGCAAACCAAGCTGCACAGGCGCAAGTGCTGCAAATGGGGTAGCGGTAGCACCGGTGGGATGCTCGGGGTGGCACTAGCGCAGGTGGGATGCTCGGGGCAGCGCTAGCACAGGTGGGATGCTCAGGGCGGCACTAGCGCAGGTGGGATGCTTGGGGCGGCACTAGCACCAGTGGAATGCTTAGGGTATTGCTAGCGCCGATGGGATGCTTGGGGTGGGGTGGCGCTAGCAGTGGCGGGATGCTCCGGGCAGCGCTAGCATCAGTGAGATGCTTGGGGTTAGGATGGCACTAGCACCAGCGGGATACTCAGGGTGGCGCTAGCATCAGTGGGACGCTTGGGGCGGGGTAATGCTAGCACTGGCGAGATGCTCGCGTGTGCACTCATGTGAGCATGCACTGGCCATCCCTTCATGTGGCCCGGTGGCCAAGTAGGAGCAGCCCGGTGGTGGGCCGTGGCCACAGGTTGGGGACCCCTGTTTTAAAGTATATATTATGTAAAGAAATGCATAATTTAAAAATGGGAACCTTTTTAAAACAAATTAAATCAAAATAACCTCCATGTCTATTAAGCGTAATGTGACAGAAAAAAACCTAAAGAGTTGGGTAATTGCTCCAGCATTTTTCTACCTTCTGCAATACTTATTAGCATGTCTAAAATTAGCTAATTGAGGAATTAAGATTGTGCCAAAGCCTACCTATGGGCAGCTTCCCAAAAGCAGTTCTTTCCACAAACATCAGAGGGCAGCATCCAATAGGAATTCCAGTAAGATACAGAAATATTCTTACACCTAACAGGGTAAGATAGAAACAATCCTTTATGAATATTATGTTTTATCATTAGAGATTGCTGTGGAATATTTTACTTGCTCCTTAAAGAACAGTAATTACTAAATGATAATGCTGGTCTGTGACTGTAATAAAAATTGACTGATTGATTACTAAATGATCTGTTCCATTCCTTGAAGATATGTTTGGGAGATAACCGTCGAGGAGTCTGCAATACCTCCAGGTTTTTATGGTCAGTCCAGACCTCAAACGGCTCACTCACCCCCTCCAACATATGAACGCCATGTTGCTAGGGCCCACTTCACTGCAAACACCTCTTTCTTCCAAATAGCCCATGCTCGTTCGGTTTCCATTAGCTTTCGGGAGGTATACACACATGGCTGAAATGCTCTCTAACTATTTTGCTGGAGTAAAACTGCCCCTACAGCCACATCAGCCTGCACCACAAACGGCTTTTCCAGGTCTGGATGTAGCAACACAGGCTCCCTCGCGAACAGGAGTTTCAATGCCTCAAAGGCGCGTTGGCACTCTGTTGTCCAGGCCAACGGTTGTCCAGGACATGGTTTTGTTGTGGCTTTTCGAGTACGCAACAAGTCCATCAGGGGTAATGCCACCATGGTGAAGGAAGGAATAAAATGTCTATAAAAATTGGCAAACCCCAGAAAACTCTGTAATTGGCGGCGTGTCTTCAGTGTCTGCCACTCCAGTACGATCCTCATCTTATTGGGGTCTATTTTGATCCCTTCTGCCGAAATCCGATAACCCAAATAATCCAGGCGTGCTTGATGGAACTCACATTTTTACAATTTGACGTACAACCGGGCTTGTAACAGCTTTTGCAATACGTCGTGCACTAACCTAATGTGGTCCTCCATGATCTTAGTGTATATAAGAATGTCGTCCAGGTATACAAGTACCCCGCGGTACAAGTGCTCATGCAGTATCTCATTAATCAGTTGCATGAACACCGCGGGGGCCCCTTGCAACCCAAAGGGCATCACCCGGAACTGGTAACTACCCAAAGGGCAGTTAAAGGCAGTTTTCCATTTGTCACCCCTCTTTATTCGCACCCGGTAGTATGTTTCCCAGAGGTCCAACTTTGTGAACACTTGGCCTTGGGACAAGTGAGCCAGAAGGTCCTTCATCAGAGGAAGGGAGTACATATGCTCAACACATACCGCATTGATACCGCGGAAGTCTACGCATAGCCGTAGAACGCCATCTTTCTTTTCCTGAAAGAGAACTGGCGCTGCTATCTGGGATTGGGCCGGCTGGATGTACCCTTGGGCGAGGTTCTTATCGATGTATCGCCGCAAATCGTCCAACTCACAGGGGTCATAGGATATATGCAGGGTTTTGGTAGTTTGGCCCCCAGCAGTATATCAACAGCACAGTTCATTGACCGGTGGGGCGGTAAACTATCACATTCCTGCTCACTGAAAACTTCCGCTATGTCCCTATACACCTCTGGGAAGCCAGTTTTTTATACTGGTCGCTCCTGGGATGCTTTCACTCCCTCCCGCTCTCCCTCCGACTCCGTACCCGGTGACCGGGGACCAACCCCAAGTCGTAGGTGGTGATAGCCACCTTCCCACCAGATAGTGGGGCCCCATTTATCCAGCCAGGCAAGTCCCAAGATTACTGCCTCAGACATTGAGGGGACCACAATAAACCTAAGGACTTCCCAATGCTTCCCCATGTCCATTCTAACTGGTTCTGTTATAAGAGTGGCTGGGGCTCCGCCCAAAAGGGACCCGTCCACCTGCTCGAAACTAATCGGCTGAGCTAAGCAAACAACCTTGATACCCATTCCCTCCACTACATCCTTACTAAGGAGATAGCAGGTACACCGAGAATCTATCAGGGCCTGGTATTCGCCTGTACAGCCCATATGTAGGCTTGTTAAAGTGATGGGGATTACAAAGAGGCAGATTGGCTCGCTTACCATGGGGTCGTCAGCGGGGTCCATGTTGCCATACTCCGTCAACCGTTCTTCAGCAGCGGCCGGTAGCTCTTCAATCGGGGATCGTTGGAGCGAAACCCCCTCCGCTTGACAAGCCACCCGTGACCGTTCCGGGGTCTTCTTGGGTGTGGAGCTCGGTTTGCTGGACGGTATTGACTGCCCTGCGACACAAGGACTGGACACTGCTGCCCGATGCCTGGGTCGGTTGCACCTGAAACATCTGAACACAGGTCGAAAGGCAGGCCCAGGACCCTGGGGTTTCCAACTGTCATCCCTTGGCTGCTCCACAGCTCATCTAGGGGTGAGTGGATCCTCTATGGCCCTCCGGAATTCCTGCAATCCCATGTCCAAATCAATTACCACCCGAATCCATTCGTGGAGGTGGTTTGGTATACCCCTTACCACACACGCTTGCCGTAGGTCTTTATCCAAACCAATCCGGAAGTGGTGGACCAATAAGTCTTCTGGCCATGAACGCAACTGGCTCGCTGCTCGCTGGAATTCCCACACATACTCCTGTATGGGCCGTCCCCTTTGTTTCAGACCCATTACCTCCACTTCCGCACGCTGGACCCAGGAGGGATCTTCAAATCTGTCCCACAACGCAGCCAGAAAGAGTCCAGCGTCGGCTAATTCCCCGACATGGTCACTATACATGTCCGCTGCCCAGGCTGCAGCCTCGCCCTGCAGGCTCGCTAGCACGGCCACCACCATTGCTCAATTAGACGGATAGAGAGAGGCAAACCGGTCCAGGGTGGCTAATAACGTGGCTCATAAACATTGCTATACAGTCTGGGTTGCCGTCAAAATGAACTGCAATAGGCAGCGGACCCCACATGAACCCTGGGTTGACCACCGACTCTGGGAGCAGAACCACCACTACCAGGAGCCAACCCATGATGCCCAGTAGTCACTGTCCCTGAGGCAGCATCCATCAGGTCCTGCCTTTGAGCCCGGGACTGTGCAGCTGAAACACCCACCCCAGGCGCCCCTGCTTGGAGAGAGCCACTGCGAGGAGGTATACGAAGTTTTGGGCTGGCTAGCTGGAACCTTGATGAGTCGGCTGGGACCCCTGGGCCGGGGTGGTGGCTCCGAATAGCCTGCCTCTCCAAACTGGTCCCGAAGGATGTCCATAGTATATTGGCCCGGTGCTGTAGAGTAGCTCCGCTCCTCCTCCTCATCTCCAGTCACCCGTCTCTCCCTCCAGCCAGAGAGGGCCTCCCCCAAGTCCTGACACATGCAGCCGGCCAGACTCTGGGCGATGCAGGGCAGGGCTTAGCCACCATTCCCCAGAAGACACCATAGGGCCTGTCTGCTGAGACTCACCCACAGGTTCCACAGGCTGCTGGGCCTTTTTCCTTGGGCCATACTACTGGCTGCTCCCCCCCTGCCTCTGCTGCGGTCTGCTGCGGTTGAACCACCAGCTCAGTAGCCTCCTGCTCTGTCACAATCCCTTGGGTTCCCTCTGCCATCTCCCGCACTCATGAGGAACCAGATAATGCGAACAAAAGAATATAATGAGTGCTGTCTTACTGTCAAAGTCGTCCTTTTTGATGCTCCGAATAACAAGCCAACAAGCAGGAATGAAAGACTGATGGTAGTTTTAATTTACTCCATACAAAAAAAAGACAGCACTTGGAGTGGATTGCTCCCAGTGCCTTACATAGGCAACGCACGCCTGTCCCACCCTCAGGAAACCGGCCTCACCCTTGTTAAACCACCCCACCCCTGAAGCCATCATCCGGTGCATCAATAAACAAAATAGAGTAAGCTGGAGCATTTACGTCCCTTAGTCCCGTACAGTTGCTCTCTGTTGCCTTGCAGGGTTGCTTTGTTCTTCACACAAAGCAGCTGAGCCCAGAGTGTCCATCTAGACACCACATTCGTTGGTTGTGCGACCCCAGTCGGCTTCCAGCAATGAACGACAATAGCTGACAGCCTCCTCCCCACCAGTGAGTATCGGCCCCATGAGGCGAGTGTTATGGCAGCAGCGACAGGCCTGGAGGCAGGTCAGGATTCAGGGAAGGCGTCTGGGTGGCGATGGAGCCATAACATGTGAGGGATGGCCGCAAAACGGCAATGGACCTGCGCCCCGCCATTTGTTGGCCCGGATGGGTCGGCCTTGCGGGGTTTGACACCCGACCCTTTCCCCACCTGCTGCGTGGTCCTCTTGGCCGTCCTCCCGCTGCTGCCAGTTGAGCTGAGCGAGCTCGAAGAGGTGGCAGTGAGCGAGCAGCCGTGCCCCTTTGCCGTCCTGCCGCTGCCCTTGGTGCTGCAGGAGACCTTGGGCTGCGAGGGCGGTGGCGGGTCAGGACCTCCCTCATCCCTGCAGCAGCATTCCCCGTTGCTGGCGCGAGCGCCCATGGTGCACCCAGCCTTGGCGCCCTCCTCTTGTGATGTCAAAGTGGCTGAGGATGTGGCGGGGGCGGTGGCCAAGCTGGAGGTGGCAGGGACCCCCGATGATGCTACAGTGGCTGCCACCAGAGCTGCTGCCTCCCGTCCTGCTCCCCCTTCCCACCCGTTTGGCTGAGGACACGGCGGGGGCAGCAGCAGGGCCGCACTGCTGCCACCAGAGCCATTGCCTCCATCCTGCTCCTCCTCCCCGCCCGTTCGGCAGATGATGCAGCGGGGCAGCGGCCAGGCCCGCTGGAGCCGCTGCCTCCCGTCCTGTTCCCCTTCCCGCCCATTTGGCTGAGGACACGGCGGGGGCGGCAGCCGGGCTGCGCCGCCGCCACCGGAGCCACTGCCCCCCGTCCTGCTCCCTCTCCTTGCCCATTTGGCTGAGGACGCGATGGGGCGGCGGCCAGGCCACACTGGAGCCTCTGCCTCCCGTCCTGCTCCCCCTTCCCGCCCATTTGGCTAAGGACGCGGCGAGGACGGCGGCTGGACTGCACCACTGCCACTGGAGCCACTGTCTCTCGTCCTGCTCCCCCTCCCTGTCCATTCGGCTGAGGACACGGTGGAGTGGTGGCCAGGCCACGCTGAAGCCGCTGCCTCCCGTCCTGCTCCCCCTCCCCACCCGTTCGGCACCTTCTGCCTTTCGTTCTCTTTCTCTTTCCTCACCTGGAGAGAGAGAGGAAAGAGAGAGAGAAAGAGAGAGAGAGGAAAGAGAGGAAAGAAAGAGGAAAGAAAAAGTAAAGAGAAAGAGGGAGAGAAAGAGGGAGAAAACAGGAAAAAGAGGGGGAGAGGAAAGAGAGAAAGGGGGAAAGAGAAAAAGAGAGGAAAGAGGGAAAGAGACACAGAGAGAGACCCTTTTGACATCTAAAATGAAGATAACACTGCATATATCCTTTACCTTTATTTTATATATACACAAATACATATACGTCTTTGGTTGTTCGGGTTTTCTCCCGCGTAAAATTGGAAGTGTCTTGGCGACGTTTCGACGAAGTCCCATTCGTCATCTTCAGGCTGGTGAAGATATATACAAATACATATACATACATACATACGTACATACATACACATGTGTGTGTGTATATATATATATATATATGTTTGTGTGTGTGTGTTTTCTGAGGTTTTCGAGGGTGTTTGTATGTAGGTCTTTGGTTATTCGGGTTTTCTCCCGTGTCAAATTTGGAAGTGTCTTGGCGACGTTTCGACAAAGTCTCATTCGTCATCTTCAGGCTGGTGTTTTCGGCTTCGTGCTCCTAGAAGCACGAAGCTGAAAACACCAGCCTGAAGATGACGAATGAGACTTTGTCGAAACGTCGCCAAGACACTTCCAAATTTAACGCGGGAGAAAAGCCGAATAACCAAAGACCTACACACACATACACACACACACACACACACACACAGAGTAAAAAAAAAAGGATATATGTAGTGTTATCTTCATTTTAGATATCAAAAGGGTTTTGCGGCTCCCAGTGTTTTCTTTTCGGTGGGAAACGTGTCCAAGTGGCTCTTTGAGTGTTTTGGGTTGCCTACCCCTGGATTAGGGATTGCTCAGGCCACTTCTCTATCTGACCGGCTATCTTGCGAAACTTTCGTATGTACTCCAGGGCAGGCCTGCTGGCTTGTTTTATTTTGTGGATTTGTTCTCCTGCTTTGAGGCCAATGGATGTGTTTTCAAATATTTCTCAGCACTAGGAGGAAGAGGTGGGGGTCCTCCAATTCAGGGGCTTGGTCATTACATAAATTATTCAGCCATTCGGATGCTTCTCCCTCTAAGCTGGATGCAATCACATCGACCATAGTGCATGGGTCTGGGTAGAGATAGGCCCAGCAGTTCAAATGAGAGCGCACTTGGTTGAGGAAGAAAATCAGCTTTTCTGGCTCCCCATCGAAGGTTGCTCTGAATGGTGGAGCAATTAATAGCTGCTGGGCCCCCCACTGTCTCTGTTGCACCCCCAGTTGCTGCTGGTCCCATCCTGACTGCTGCTGCATGCCCAGGGGTTGCACGTTCAGGGGCTGTGGCCACGCCCCCTGCTGCTGTAAGCCCCTCAGTGATTGCTGTATGTTTGGGGGCAGTGACCAATCTCCTTGCTGTGGTCGTCCTCCCACCAGCTGCTGATCTCCTGGCTTCTGCACCACCCCAAGTTGTTGCAAGGCCTATATTAGCTGTGGCAAACTCAGAGGTTGCTGACCATTCACCTGCGGGGGATGCCAAACTCCCCATTGCTGCAGAGGCCTCAAACTTTGGTTCCCTCTCTCTGTAGAGCTGGAGGCCCTGGCAGGGGAAGACAGGGTCTGGAAGCTGTCTGATCTGCAATGGAGGGGCTGTAGGCTCCTCTCATCAGGAGTTGATTTCTGCTTCTCATCTCTAGCTTTTCAAATCTTTCCAGTAACTCACCCGAATCTTCAATGGCAGACGACCTGGTAGCTCTCCACCGGTCAGCTTTTGAAGTCTTTGAGGGCAGCAAGGCAGTCTCTAGGCTTTTAGAGTCTCCACTGGGCTGGGCCCGGGCTGACACCCAGATCAGTTCTTCTAGCTGCTTGGGTTCTGTCCCCATCTACAAAAATTCATCTTCCCACAGCATGCTGTCTGTTGCTTCCTCCTCTAGGGTATCAGCAGCTGCCAGTCACTATCTTCAAGCAGGTTCTCTTTTCCCATGATGAAATTTTCCTCCTGAATCTTTGCCAGCTTCTCTCAAGCCTAGAGACAGTTCAGGACCCCAGGTTGTTTGAAAAGAACGTAGATCTTGGCGTGATATCAAGGTTCTGACTAATGAAACACTTCAAAGGACTTCCAGGCATTGTTTATCCTAAAAAGTCTTTAATCGTGAAACAAAGTGTCAGCACAGCATGGTGGATGCCAAGATCTGAATTCCCCTCCCCTGAGCACATAATATTCCACTCCTCTAATTTGCAGTCATAAATAACATTCTCCAATTAGTTTGAAAGGCAAAGTTTCCCTTCCATTCTGTAGCCCGCGGTTTATCTTAACTAATCCCCACACAAATTCTTTCTCCTCCCCTCCCAGCATCATCTACTTTAACTCTAAAAATACCACACAGCTTATACAGAGAACGGCTGCCTCTTCATATTTTATCAAAGCAAGAACGTCCAATGTTAGCAGCGTTGACACATAACTTCCTCTATGGTAGTATCAAGATAAATCTGATGGGAGTAAAAAGTTTAACCGAAAAGCCTAGTATCAGTGTAATGCCAAATCTTACAAAAATTAAATCCAGTGGTACTTAATAGAGAAATATGAACAATTTCTTAATATCTGCCATATCAAATATTTACTATGTTTGCTATTAAACTTGTTTTTATATTAAAATATTTGTACAGAACAGATGCTGCCTATAAATAATAAAGTCAGTGACATACAAAAGAGAAAAAAAATAACTTTTAAAAGACACCTTAATGAACATGGATTTATGTTTTAGTGCTATTTTTGCAGTCATCTCTATTTATTGCTTGTTAATATTCTATTTGCACAACATTTTGGCTAGTGTCTATTTTTTTCTATCAAGAACCACTTTGCATTTTAAAAATCATGTATTACACTGTGTTTCATAGGACAATAGGTTGCAAGTTGCTAAGCCAAAAACTAAACATATTTCTAAGAAGCACTTATTTCTTCTTGAATGTTCACCAGGCTAAATTAATATATATAGTATTTAAATTGTAAATAATTTTAAATTTTAAAAATGAGCTTGAACTGCTATGTAGCCAAAGCAGCATTGTTTATACCTAACATTGAATGGGTACTGAATGGGTACTCCCCATTTAATGCATTCTTCATGAGAGGAGATGCTAAGGATTCCCAATGAAGTCAAGTGGTTGGATCTCAGAATCTATGCTTTTTGGGATCTTTCCTCTGTGGAATACTATGCACGTAAAGGCATATGGGGATAAACATTTGGTGATTAATAATGGATGAGAAGTATCACAACTTGAGTTTTAACAGATTATACTTTATTATATTTTTATGAAAACTAGATGGGTTAATATAGATATTGATTACTTACGCTGATACTTTTATGATGGTAAACAGCCCAAATTCTTTAATATTTAGACTATACAAACTGTTATATGGATAAATAAAATGCTAGAGTACTTAGGAAACATTTTTATAAAAACACCAAGATAAAACACCACATAAATATTCATGCTGACTATGGTGAAAGAGATGAGGAACGGAACCAACAGGAAACTGATTCAAGGGAAAGTGGAAAGGGATATTATTATGAAGATATTGCACAATTGGATGAAATATTACTGTGGGACAATCATACTTGTGTATAACCCATATTAAATACAGCACATTATTGTTTTAACAAATTATGTGCATAGTAATTATGCTACATAAATTTGGTAGGATAATTAAAAATGAAAAATAGTAATGCCTCAATATGTTTTTTCTTATGATCAACACACTTAATTCTTTAGTACTTTTCATACCATATATAATATGGTACTAACAAAATAGTTTTAAAAAGTGAATCGCATGGAATATACAGACATACAAAAACTCAAAGTTACAGGTTTGACTTTGTAAAAAAATGAATTTGAAATTATATTGTATGGTAGTGCCAAGGTTTATAAATTGTTATTGAAATTGAACTTGGAGAATGAATATGTTGAAGCATTGCATGATCCAATAGGTAAAAATTTTTGAGTATAATAATTGCACAATGGACAAAGGGTTTAAACATATGGACGTGTGGGTGAAGGATTTAAAATTTACATTAAATTATAATTTAAAAGAATTTTTTTTATAAAAGGGGCGTTGTCTTACCTGAACGCCTTTTCTCAGCACGGAGATGGATAATCCACCATTGGGTTGAGGCTGTATTCCTGCCCAATCAGATCAGTCAGCCAAAGTTGCCACGCCTGTCCTGGACCACGAGATTCCCAGTCTTGACACGAGCAAAGCCATTGACTGACACCAAGACGTTTTGGCTCAACTATTTTGTCCCTAGCTATTAAGGTCTGCAAGGGTGGGTGTGGATTATCCATCTCCGTGCTGAGAAAAGGCGTTCAGGTAAGACAACGCCCCTTCTCCAGCACTGGAGATGGAGAATCGACCAATGGGACATACCAAAGCCTATTGTCCCTCGGGTTGGGGAATAGACTGGTCCTGTGTGGAACTTTGGTTTAGCACCTGCTGAAGAACCCTCCTACCGAAGGAGGCCTCTGCAGAGGAGTATTTGTCAATTTTGTAATGGCGAATAAATGGAGACGGCGATGCCCAAGTGGCCGCCTTGCAAACCTGCTCAATGGAAGCCTGCGTGGCCCATGCTGCCGAGGTGGCAGCACTCCTTGTGGAGTGAGCCGTGACGTGTCTGGGGACCGGCAAGGCCTCTGCCTGGTATGCCCCGGCGATGCATGCCCTGATCCACCTGCCAATGGTGGAGGAAGAGACCTTCTGGCCCCCAGAGGAGGGGTGGAAAGATATAAAGAGCGCCTCTGAACGGCGGAATTCCGCTGTCCGCGAAATGTAGTACCTTAGTGCCCTGCGGACGTCTAATGTGTGCCATTGTTGTTCTAGGGCGTGCGTTGGATTTGGACAAAAGTCCGGAAGGACTATTTCCTGTGACCTGTGGAAAAGG